CCAGCCAGTTTTTGACCCAGCGCAGAGTACACCTGCCTAAGCCGTGAGCCGCCAGCTTCTCTAGGAGAATGCTGTGGGAGACGGTGTCAAAGGCCTTACTGAAGTCCAGGCAGACCACATCCACATTTTGTCTTAAAATTATTTTAAAGCAACCTTTTTGTCCAATTCAGTTATTCTTTCCTGCCCACTTTGTCTTAAAATTATTTTAAAGCAACCTTTTTGTCCAATTCAGTTATTCTTTCCTGCCCACCTTCAATGAACTCGAGGAAGCCACCACCATATCTTAGAAGCTTTTTTACGTGTTGCCTCCTACATGGCTTCAGTCACCCACTTCTTCCCAGCTCAAGGCATAGCTTTGCAGTTTGCTCTCCAGCTGTGGGAGGAGACCCCAGGACCACCACTGCTCCACCAAGCCCTGGCCCGACCTCAGGAGCCCCGAGGCACTTGATCCTTCCCCAAACTGCCGAGGGTTTTTTCTCGGGTGACCTCAGAGCTCTGCACACGCTGCCTGTGCCAGGCCCAGTCCTTCAGCAAGGGCTGCCCCTGGGCCAGGCGACTCCACCGCCAGGCAGGCCTGAAAGCACTTCATTGTGTGAGCAAACATCATCTGGGAGATGGGCTTACTTCAGGCAACCGTGGAAAAATCCTTTCTGTGTGTTTGGACTGACAGGATAACCGAAAAACAAGGTATCTGTAACCCATTTTGAATACAAACAGCAACACCAGTTACCAAATACCTTGGAAGTATTTTAAGTCCAGATACTGCAATTTAACTTCAACGCTATTACATCCGAGCATCTCCTATTCTTGTCCCGTGATGGGGATTATTAGCCGCATACTGACCTGTTCCGTCACTTACCAGTGAGGAGATCAATCACATTTGGTTTCGCAGTAACGGTTCACATACAGGACAGAAGAGTTCAATAACCTGCAGCAATTTATCAGCTTAAATCCAAAGACAAAGCGGTGGCAGGAGACAGAGCTGTCTACTGCAGCTCCCGAGACCTCGCATGGCAAACGCTGACGCACATACTTAACTCTGACCAGGTGTGCAGGTCGCTTTTTAACACAATTACTCTCATTTGTTACCTAAGTGCCTGTATTTTCAAAGGACCAGACCTTTGCAGGAAAATTATTTCCTCCTAATGTATCAAGTCAAAGCTGAATAGATACCTGAAAACCACACGGAAGGCAGATCGTCCCACCCTGAAGTAATACATCAATCCTATCAGTGAATGTACGTTTTATTGAAAGTGTGGCATGAAACACTTGACTGCGAGTATAAATTTATAAACAGCTCTTGATGTATGTGAGATTTTTGGCAAGGTTTACCAAATAATGCAATTGACAGTACATTTAATTTAGGAAGGTTTGCTCATTGGTTTTTATATCTATTTAAAAAAAGGAGCTGATGAACTTCCAAATCATAAACGATGGATTTTTGTTAATTATAAAATATTATGAATTTGCAATCTTTTTATTCTAGTACTCAAGGAACTGCCAGCTATTTAAAACTGTACCTTTATCATTATTCACAGAGTTTAACAAAAATAAATACAATTTTGAGGTTGTCTTTGGCATGTCGTAATTCAAGGCAATAGTATCTTTCAGCAGCACAGTGCAAAGAAAAACAACATACCATACAATGCACTACTAGATTCAGCCTTACAAGGAGAAGAGAACGTAGTACAATGCAAACTTTAATGTCAATATATACAGAGCTTTAAAGAAAACATTTTTTTTTTTAAAATTAAATGAAATAAATACAATATGATACAAAATCCACAATATGCTTAGAGAAAGAAATGACAGTTACAATATCTGATAACGGGGACCTTTTGTATAGTTTCATCTTTGAAGTACCTCAGAGCATGTAATTCATTGCACACTGTTTTCAATTAATGCCCTTTCGTATATTGAGATTTATAGCCAGTCACGTGCCAGAAGAGTTTTAGCTCTAATCAGAGTATCAGTGCAAGATGCCAAAGTGCTTGGGATATTATGACAACGCAATTACTTTGCAAACGCTGCTCATAAGCCTAATGCAAACCACACAAAATAGGAACGCTTTGTCCTGCAAAGGAGATCCACCTCGAGCACCTTTTCAGTTCTCACACAGAAAAACCCTAAACAGGATTCTATGTTATTCAAACTCACTATTGGTAGTAAGCTATTGCCCAAATCTTAATAATTAAGAGACATAATCAATTAAATATCCTTAAAAGCTTTCGAAGAAAGTTTGCTTTCATTACATAGGAAAAATCTCAAGAAAACCAGTCACTGATTATTTTTGGGGGGGACTTCTAATTACGTAAGTTATTATAATACTCAAGTCAGCTTTAGCTATACGCTAAGGGTAGGGTTTTTTTAAAGTTTGTATTTGTTCTTCTGTTCCCAAAGGAAAATGTAGGCTTAACAACAATATAATCTGAGGGACTAAACGTTTAAAAAATACACTGAAGTAGGGACAAACAGTATTCAGAACGTACTTAACTAAAGAGGTGTTAATGCAGAAGGATGGTACGGTACGAATGACAGCGCAGGCGTGTTACCAACGGGTATCAATACATACCCAAGAAAGTTCCTGAACAAACTTCCAAGGTTTTTTTTAATCATCTAGCACTCCCGTAGGGTTACACAGGGACTCTTATCACGGCTTCAGAAGCCTTTTGAGAACTCTGAGGAAGAAAAATCTGCTCCTCCCTTCCCTCCCACAAATATTTGCAAACTTCTAATTCTGGATAGGACTGAAAAACTTAAGTGCTACAAAAGTACATAAACCCCCACATTCGCATTGATGTTTTAGCCTAATTTCATCGATACAGATCAGGATAATTGCTATAGTATTGTGTAAGTCATTTAACTCAATTCTTACAAGCTATCTCAACTTTTTAATTGTAACATTTGAGGGCAGAGCGCCAAGTACTGGATACAGCAATCTGTCACTGCAAGTGACCAGTTTATAAGTATACTGCAAGTAACTTCCAACTGCTGAAGTTTGCTAGAGGGAATTTTAACTATTGGACGCATGAAGATTAGCTTTGGAAAATGAATTAGGACACGGAAGACAGAATTCAAGCTCAACATGACTGACTTGGGTGAGGTTTTGGATGCCTTCTCTGGATGCAAGGAGAACATTTAAACCGTACTACAACATAGGCCTCAAATGGACAGCACACTTAGGCCACCTACACCTTAGGCTCTTCGCGTGGTCAAAGAGAATTTACTAGTTTTAAGCGTAATGGGAAAACACAACATGCTAACAATGGCATTGAGACTACACAAGCCACAAAACAGCGGCTTAAATGAATCCACCCATGGTGATGCTCTCGGGTATGGGCGCTCTTCGTTATGCACCACTGGCTGACATCGACGCCACCGCACAGTTTTTGGATACATAACAGGAATACAATAGAGTTCCTCACTTTTTATCAAAAGGATAACTGAAGATAGAAATTGCAATATACAAGAGGTGAAAGAACGGCAAAACATGTCGTGAGCCTGCTCCAGCTATAGCCGATGTCTGTGGGAATCTACTCTTTAGTGAGAACGTATCAGGCTCTACGTGCACTTGAGAACTAGCAGTTATTTGTAACTGCCATTACCAAACATCAGAGTAGAAGCTATTTTGCTGGCAGTAACAGAAGCCATATCCAAAATATTATGTCATTTAAGATACTAATTAGTTCTCTGGAAATTCCTCTAAATACATAATATGTATACATATTTCTTTGTAATTATAAGCCTTCATAAAAAATTTCACTCTTTTAAAAAAAAAATCACTAAGATAGTAAAATCGTAACTAGTTGGTAATCTTGAACTGTGCAAAGACCGTAAGAAAGTGAAACAAGTTACACTAACCTTTCACTCCAGCCAATAGCAAGTTCAAGTAAGTGTTCTTCCATTTCAAACATTTAAATCCTTACTCATGAGCAGACCATGCTACTTTCTAATATAATTGCTTAATTGAACAAAACCTAAGTTTGCAAAAAGGATGAGAAGTATGCAAGAAATTCCAAAAGAAATAATCACAAAGTTGATGATCATTAAATACTACATAGTAAGAGTAAACTGCAAGTGAACTCTTTTGTATCCCTGTATATCCAAAATGTTTCAAAGACTGATATGCTGAAATATTCATAGCAAGTGAACTTCTCCCCCCAAATTAAGGATTAAAATTGGCACACCAGGGTACGCTGGCCTGTCAGATATAACAAAGGTGTTTGTCCATATGTTTTCCTTGTGATAAGACAACTTTGTAATGTTGCAGTCACTGAAACCTTGCTTTTACCCCAGGAGTACCACTTGCACTAAAGGCTAGTAACGATATAAAAACAGCAGGGATAACTTTACAGAAAATGTTTTAAATTCTTTGCTAAGAATCAGAATATCCGTCTTGTTTGTGTACTTCTCCCCTTACCACCTTTGTTTTGCACACCGAGAAGAACTTAAGTACCTTCAGCTGCTTACAACTGCTTTTGTGCAAAATGCTTTTAAGGTGCTTATAATGTGGTGCTTCTAAGCAAGCTAAAAGAAAATACCAATATAAACACTGTTAAATGATTCATGAATAAAGCCATTAAAGACCAGCTGCTACCTTACGGGAAAGCTGAAGACAATTCAAGTTTGACATTTACTTGTGTTCCACACCTCGCATTACCCTCCATCCCCAACCCAGTTTTTACTAATACATTTCAACCCACATTATACCTTGACCTTGGGCTAAGGTGGCTTTATTTCCATCACTGTTTTTTTCTTAGAGTGAACTCAAATTCTTCTGGCAGTCATTTGTAAATTTACAAAAAAATTATACCGATAGACTGTAGACAAGAGGTTTAGCGGCATTCTTGCTGGCAAAGGTCTTCAGTAATGAAAAGAAGGATGAACCAGCTGCATAAGGGGCTGACTTTGTACTAAACAATAAGCTTTCCAGGAAGCAGTTGTGTTCTTTGAAAAGCTTTCAAGCATTTCAAACAGGCACCTCAAAACTAGGCACAAATGGCCCCTAAAGCTTCCAACATCTATCAAACACTCAAGAAATTTAGTATGGGGTATGTTCTGCATGATACAAATAGCACACCTATGTTTGCTATATTCATTAAGTCTCAAATCTACATATATTCATACCTAACTATTTGGCCAGATAATTTCCATCTTCCCCCACCACAACAAAAGAAAGCAGCTTATCTAATAGTACTTCCAATGCCACCAAGCACTTCACAGGTATAAACAAAAACCAGCCAGCACCCTCTGCCTTTCAAGATCTGAGTTACTACTGCCACTCTTGGCAGTTGGGCCAGAATTCTCCTGCAAGCTCATTTTCCTGTCTCAAAATGCCGAGTTCTGCCACCACTGGTGTCTTGTAATTGGCTGCCAAAGGTACCCGAAACAGGAAATTCAACGATGGCAAATCAGTCCGAACTACATTTGATTTTGGTCACTTGGATTCTCAGACTGAACAGTCTAACTGTTGGTCACTAATATACTTAGTATTTAAAATGCATGTCATCCTACTATGACAGTACAATTGCACAGCAGTGTCTACAACTTTTGACGATACTTTTAAGCTCATCATTTCCGAATGCATTAGCTCCCAGTCTATTAGCAGTTAGCACCGGTTTTGAGTCAGAAAACCCCAAGATAATTCTGGCCCTGAAATTAATTTCCTCTCCATCATAGCATTTAGAAACAGCTGAAGTCCTAACACCAAGACAAAGAGGGCAAGTGAGTGCTGGCGACAAGATATTGTCAGTAACGTGTCCACGACTGAAGTTTCTTGGTCAGAATTCCCTTATCTGGGCACACTGCAAGGCTTATTTATTTTCCCAAGCTACCCCCACAGTTAGGCAAATAGAATTTTGCATTTATGTTCTGTAATATTTGTACATGCGGCGAGAGATTCAGATAGAAGCAACGTTCTATAAAAATCAAATAAATAAAAAATAAAATCCACGTGCCAAGTTTGTTATAATAAAGTGTCAGTTTGTCTTATATGCCATACAAAATTAATATTGGGTATATTCAGTGGAAACGACTGCTGAGGAAGCAGTAACACAGTCATTGTACATATGGATAGACAATATAACTAATAAAAATTATTGGATTGCATGATGTTGTCTTAAAGTGGTACCAATGTTATTTAGATCCTTAATTTTGACAGTTTATACACATACTTATTTTCTCTAGCTCAGGGCAGGACACAATACCATTCGTGGTAACAACTAGAAATGTTCATTTTCCTGTAAGAAGCCATTTGTTAACCAGCATTTCTTTTGGGTCACAAGTGATCAAATTAAGTTTATGGGTAAAGTGCAGAATCTTACACATCCCTTTTGTTTGTATTTTCACATAAACTTATCAGCTACTGGCACCATCCAAACACGGACCTTCCAAATTAACACCATCACACTTAACACTGGCACAATATATTAGTCAGCTTTTCATAATAGTAACGAACAAGTTAAATGAATTAAGTTGAATGAATTAAGTGCCCAATTACAAAATTAAGAATTTGTCCTTCAAAGGTGTCAAGAGAAGAAAACTTACACTGACACTTTATGTACAACTTGGTCATTGGCAATGGTCCCCTAAACCATTTTTGTAAATGAACCCAGCAAAACTATACAGAATGTGAAATAATATTTGCAACAGATCTCTCAAAGGACAGTGTAGAGAAATTCATTATGGTGTACCTGATGTTTAAATTAATTTAACAGATACGGCCTGTAAAACAACACAGTATGAACCTGTGGATTTTTTTTTTTTTCTTTTTAAAAAAAGGACTTTTACAGAATTCAAGTAGTGTAGCAGGAAACCATAGATGCCTTTTGATCACAGGTCAGGCAAAATAGAGCCACTTATTGGATTTTCCCCTTGCTTCTGTTTGCTAAGGTGTCCCAGTGGATCTATAAGTCTGTTGATGTTAGCTTTTTCATGCTCCGTCGCTGAGCTAAACTTGAGGCTGCAACAGGCTCTAACACTGGCTGAAATGTCTTGTGATTCAGTGCAGAATATGTAGCAGCCATGGCTCCCTAGAGAAGAACGGAATACAGAAAAGGCTGTAAAAGTCATTTTTATCAGAAAAATAAAACAATTTAATATTAAATTCTTAATTAACTCTCAAAAAAACCAGGACTTATGGCAGGTCATGCACATTCTCTAAAGTTTGTTTTGAAAAAACCAAACAACATTTATTGCTGAATCCTTCAGGTTTCTAAGCACAGGTATCTGACGCTTTCTTTCCTGTGTATTTCTTTTCCATACCTTAGATGTAGGAGTAACCTTTTAATGTGGGTCAGAATTAGTATTTTCCAAGCAACATTAACATCAATTTCTCAAACACAGCCACTTAAGTGGCTATTCAGGTCCTGACTTATGAAGACAACACAATTAAGACTGGCTATCACAGGCCCTTGTTTTTGAATCCAACAGAACTAATGAAGTCTATGATTCTATTCTATGATTCTAAGTCAACTTAAAAGCTGTCTGCATACAGTAGAATGTTTTTGTGTCAAGTCAGAAACACAGATACAGAACAAACATAAAATACCGGTGGAAAAACTGTAGCATAGTACATTAATTTTTATTAGGAAAGCACAATACGAGCCAGTCACAGAAACAAATTCTAGAAGATTTCTTGAATAAGAATGCTAGGAGACCTGTGGAAGGCTCAGTGTCAGATAACTGTCTTATCAGGTTTCTATATGGCCAAAGCTACCTTAATCTTTGAAAGCAAAACACCCGGAAAAATCTCTTCCTTTACACACAGGTTAAAAAAAATTAAGTATGCCAATAATTTGTCTGCTCACATAACTTAAATATGTACGTTCTAGGGAAAACAAAAGAAAGCTGATTTCTTTTCTAAAAAAAAAAAACAAAAGAGTTCTGCCTGTAGCTCTAAAAGTGACCCAATTTATTGCACGTCCACCAGCTCAAGCAACATTCAGCCTTCAGGTTGTTTTACCTTTACTAGATGTGGTGCATCTTGCCTGTTTAGTTGATAATGCGGCAACTGGTCCCTACAGGCTATCCACGAATGTTTTAATACTTGCTCTGCTGTATATCGCTGATGTGGATCTACATGAAGCATATGTGATAACAAGTCCTAGATAAAAATGAAAAACACGTATTATTCAGTTAAAATAATCTTACACAGTCTTTAAGCCATTAGTTATGGCAGCAATGAAAAAAGTACCCTCTGTGGCAGGGATTAACACAATGCAAACACACACACACAAATCAGCAGATAAATTGGATCATTCTGTGCCTTGACACCACAGAAGTCTGAAAACAATGTGTTGTACTATTCAATCAGTTTAACAGAGCAAGCCTTTATTTTAAAGAAACTTACTGCTGTTTGTGTTTCATATTTCGGTTCGTTTATTATTAATACAATCTTTAAAAGACTAGAAATCCTATTAAAATTTAGCAGATGATTTTATGGAAGAAAGCTATTATTTGCAAACATCTCTCCTCATTTGTACTACACATTTGGGGTCTGCTGACTACATGTTACAATTGAATTCATATATAGTGACACCGTCAAAGACTTTTTCCTTCAAGCAGCTATATAAAGAGTAAAGCCAACAGAAATGGACATTTCCTTTTGCCTGTTTAGAAGCATTAGCAATAAGCTACTAATTACAATGTTGGTCAAAAGAAGAGCTGGGTGGGAAGGGCACAGAACAGAGACAGGAATAGCTTGAAAGAAAACAAGATATGAACAAGCTGACAGAATGTTCCCTTTGTTTTAGGTACAAAACATTAAGCATTCTTAAATATACGGAAGTGAATTACTTGTGCTAAGACAGCATCAGCCAACAAGTATTCTGAATCACTCCTACTGAAATGAACAAATAGCGCACTTGCAAAGCATCGGGAAAAGATTTGATATTAATGCCAAGCTTTATAAAAGGTAACAGTGGTGACTAAGATACCTACACACCAGGCCAACACCAAACCCCGAACACACATACAGCAACTGATGAGAGATGCAGTCTTTAAATAGAAAGAACAGCCGCATAATCAACCTGATCCAAGATTTTTGGCAAGATATCCAGATATATTTGGTTGTTAAAGTACTAGTTTAATTGCTGAAAGTACTAACAAAGACAAAAGACCTGATGATGACTTCCGCATTGAACAACGTTTAAGAAATCGCACTACAAAAAAGTTAACCTATTACGGCAAGACTGCTTAGCTACTAGAACTAACAGCTAATTGTAAAAAGTCATCGTTCCATTTAAGGAATCCCACAAACACCTGATTTTGGTCCAATAAAAACAAGGAATAAAAAAGTACTGATGATTAGAAAAGCCTATACTGGGACCTACCTTATTTAAAGTCTTTATCAGTGACCTGGGGGAAGCAAGAGAGTGCACTCTTGCCAAGTCTGCAGTGGGGCAAACTGGAGGCGGGGGGAAAGAGCTAATGAGTTCAAGGGCAGGGCAGCCATCCAAAGGGACCTAGGCAGGATGGAGTAATGGGCTAACCAGAGCCATACAGAATTCAGCAAGGACAAATGCGAAGTCCTGCACTTGGAAAGGAAGAAATTGTCACCAAGGTACAGGGTGAGGCCTGACTGGCTGGGGACCAGCTTTGCCAGGAAGGACCAGGAGGTTTTGGTGGTAGACAGCAAACTGAACCTCAACTACCAGTGTGACTTGACATCCAAGAAGGCTGACAGCATCCTGGGCCGAAGCACAGCAAGTAGACTGAGGGAGGTAATTGCTTTCCTTTAGTCAGCACAGCCAAAGAAATGGAGACAGAGAACAAAGTAAAACATGAGATGTTCTGGCTTGAAATTACAAGAAGCTGCTGCTTCATTACAGCAGTCAAGCAGTGGAAAAGGCTGCCCAGGCAAGTTGTTCAGTCTCCACCCTTGGAGGTTTCCAAAAATCAGACTGAATAGAGCCCTGAGCTACCTGGTCAGATATCAGCTGACCCTGTTTTGAGCAGGAGGCTGGACTAGATGACCTTCATTGCAATAAAGTTTGCAGGTAATAGTGAACTACTGTGTTAGACTAATCTATTTTATGAAGTTCAGTAGATGTTCATTTGAATTCTACAAAAATGTAAGAACAAAACAAAAACACATTTACACCTTTGCTGCATCTGAAACAATGTCCCAGTTGCCTCCACTTAAAGAGAATTTTCCACTGCCTATCCGTACCAGGATCTCCTCTGGAGTATCATTAGGACCATTGGCAAATGGAGTATAGCTGTTGAAAGAAAAAAAAAAACCACAAAACACCTCGTTATAGGTAAGAAGCTGCAAGAAATTGGTGAAATCTCATGATCATTCTGAGTAGATACCCCACTGCTGACAGAAACACACTATATACTATTAAATACTTCTTATATTAGCATTTCATCTTCAAAACTATATTATTTTCTTTTCCCCATAATTGTGGTTAATCAAGTAGAATAAATGGGAAATGCAGACTAAAGAGATGTCTTAACTTAAAAGCTTACTAATGCGTTCTAATCAGTGCAGACTTTCAAGTTAAACAGAAGTGATTCATAAACACAAATTATGCTAGATTACCAGAGCACATAAAGTAATCCAAGCCTGGAACAGTACCCTAACAGAATGGCCCAATAAAGCTGAAGTAATACCGTGTTTAGGGTATGTGCATTTACTTAAGACAGAGAACGAGTACAATGTACACACATCTATATAGGTAAGGCTGCAAGAAATTGGTGAAATCTCATGATCATTCTGAGTAGATACCCCACTGCTGACAGAAACACACTATATACTATTAAATACTTCTTATATTAGCATTTCATCTTCAAAACTATATTATTTTCTTTTCCCCATAATTGTGGTTAATCAAGTAGAATAAATGGGAAATGCAGACTAAAGAGATGTCTTAACTTAAAAGCTTACTAATGCGTTCTAATCAGTGCAGACTTTCAAGTTAAACAGAAGTGATTCATAAACACAAATTATGCTAGATTACCAGAGCACATAAAGTAATCCAAGCCTGGAACAGTACCCTAACAGAATGGCCCAATAAAGCTGAAGTAATACCGTGTTTAGGGTATGTGCATTTACTTAAGACAGAGAACGAGTACAATGTACACACATCTATCATTTGGGGAAAAGCTACAAGAAAATTTTCATGATAGTTTCTTATTTAAGTGAGTTTGAGAGGTTTAAACCACAAGATCATTGGTTTTGGAGGCTTACAACAGTTTACAGGGTTTCCTGTAAGTTTGGCTTACTTTCTACAAATCCAACTGTGACAAACTCTAAAGAACTGAATTGGCAAATCTGAAAACCGATCTGAATCACTTAAATACAACTTTTAACAATGTCAATAGTATTACGATGTTCTGGCATCTCCTATGATCATAGGCTAGTACCAAGTTGGTTTTAACTATAAAACCCAAATCTTACTCTGATTAAGTACTTACATCATAACACCCCTTAGATTTCAAATTAGCTTGCAAACAATAATAATTAAGCCTAATGCATTCTATCTTAGTACTTTGAAAGCTCTGCATAGAAGAAAGATCAACCAGCATCATCAGAGGTTTAGGAACTATCCCAGCCAGTTAGTTCTAGTCTTTCAGTTGATGAGCTTAATAGGAACAAAATGGAAAGACAGGAATCCATGCTGGACCGTTCCTCCCCATACTTTTGGCCTGCCATACCTTTTGTTCAGACAATGTTTCTCAAGCGTGCAGACAGTATACTGCCCAATATCTGCATACCTGCACCTAAATCATACAGCAATCTGAGTTTTGATGACAGAACGGTAGTGGTGGTGGTGATTTTACACAGGGAAGTACAAATTTATCAAGAGGAACAGTTTCCAATAGATAGTATTTACCTATAAGACAAAAAAATCTGCTATTTTTCTGTTGGAGCAAAATTCAGAAAACCTTTCATCATTCAGCCACTAAGCACTTCACAGTGCTTAATGAAAGTTTAGAGGTTTAGAAAACTTAAGAGGTTACAAGCCAGTGTGTTCTATAAAAGGGCCAGGAGTCAAGCCTGTGGCAGGAAATACGAGAAGGTGGACTATAAGGGTACTAAGGTGGGGAGGACAAAAGGCAGAAGGATAAAGAAGAAAACCACCACGTGCTTGCACTAAATTCTCTCCTGGAAACTGGGGAGAGGCTTTGGCATCCCCCAGTCACGCACTGTAGAAGAGAGAAGCCTTGAACCTACCTGTAAGATAAGCCTAGTTTACGTACGCATTTACTTATGGCTTCCTGTTCCACTTCAGTGTCTTGGTCATTCTGCATTCAAACCAATGAGGTAATATCTTACAATTTTAATGAAAGCATGGATTCATGCAGCATGCTGGAATTTTAGGTAAACAAAAAAGCTAAAGAAATATTTCTCACCCTGCCAACATTGTGTAAAGAAGAACACCCAAGCTCCATATGTCACAAGCAGCATCATATCCCTGTCTCATGAGAACCTATAAAACAAAGAGTGTTAAAGACTTTTCATATATTAAAAAACAATACCACTACACACAGCCTAAGGAAGGGTAAGTCAATCCCAAGATAATTCCAGAGGCTTGATTATTTATTTTTCAATATACAGGTTACAGTAACTAAATCGACAATATTTCTTGTTCCCAGAACGTCACCTCTTAAGATTCTCAACAGGCTTACATCTTACTTTTGAGGGTGAATTCCGCTATTTTTAAAGCGGGTTTATTATAAACATATGCACCAGTGTTTAGAAAGTATGTACAATTATATTTAAGGAAATCTAGCAGAATTTTTCTTTTTTTTTTTTAAACACTGCTAAAAAGTTTAAGTACTTGATGTGTCAAAAACAGCACAGAGAAAACACATGGCAGTTTAAGATACCTCTGGTGCCACAAAGTTTGCAGTGTAGCACGGAGTTAGAAGTAGTCCATTTTCTCCTCGAAGTTGTTTTGCAAATCCAAAATCACAAATCCTGATAGAATCAGCATTATTTGAATCATCCATATATAAAATATTACTAGGTTTAAGGTCTCGATGCACTACCTTTAAACAAAGAAATTTTAAAATTTGTCATTTAGGAGTCGCATGTATATTTGGTTGTATGCAATTTCCAATTTATAAAAACTATTCTCTAGTTTAATATACCTATTAAACTAGTTCTACACAATTACATAACTTTCAAGTAACAAAAAAGTCTAGTTCAAGTAATGTCATAAAAAGCCTACTGGCTCGTAATGCAACTGGAACTAACATAACAATTTGCCAACAAGCATAAGAGAACAAATATCTGCTGTTCCATAAACTGTAAAAGTAGAGTCGAAAGGGCTTGCCAGAATAACAGGATGAGTTGTTTCTATTATTCACCTTTGTCATAAAATACTCGGAAATCTTTTTCCCTTCTGCCATAAAAACAAGCCAACCAAAGCACGTAACAAAAGGCATTTGTTAGTTTTAAGAAGTGTGAAAGAAGCTCTGTCATACAAGAAATTACTCACCCCTTGGCAGTGCAGGTAGTCCACAGTCTTAGTTATAGTGTATAATACAGCGCTAGCCTCTCGTTCCGAGAAGAACTTCTGTCTGAGAATTCGATCAAGCAGCTCTCCTCCTTTCATCAGTTCAGTGACAAGGTATATGAATCTACCATCATCATACACCTGATGAGAAGTTTAACAAGTGCATACGTATATAAATACACACATATGTATTTAAAAAGATCATCTATAATTATACATCCTGATAAATGTGAAAGTTACAGACTAGATTGTTCACCTATTCATATATTAACATAAAGCACAAACAGCAGGGACTGAGAAATTTAATTCTACAATTCAGGAGCCTTAAACCATGAAGTATAAGAAAGCTTATGTACCCTTCTGTGAGACGTTGAGGTAATCGATTGTTAATTCACAACTCGGAATTAAATTTTTCAGTCTAGGAACTTCTGCTGTAAGAGGAGAGTAGCCCTACCACTCCCTATTGCTCCTCCCCTCCATGGACAATTTTTAGCTGCTGGCACTTTGCATATACAGAACATCATGTAACTGCTTTTTCAGATTCAGATTACCAACATATTGGCTACTCATTTGAAATGAGAGGAAATACGACATTTCTAACCTTTACATCATTTCTCACTTCAAGTTCACTAAACAGCATTTAGAAAAAATATCAGGACAATGTCCTATTTTGAAATACTCACTTTACTGTATGTATTGCTCTCCTAATACATTTTACTATGTAAAAGAAATTCAATAAATCCCAATAAACTCCCTACATCTATATTTATTTATTGACTACTGTGTAATAAGAGGTAGCAGAGAAAGAGAGGTACATACATCCTTTAAAGTAATAATATTTGGATGTTGTCCATAACGCATGAGAATCTCAATTTCTTCTGAGGGATCCCTCTTACTTTTATCAATTATCTGCAAAATATAGCAACAGGAGAAAACAACTCGGCTAAACAAAGTCTATTTAATAAAGAAATTTTTTTATATTTATATTCTCACTTCAACAGAATAAAAAAAAATTTCTAGAGTTCATTACTTCTTACTAATCATGACTAATTCATGTTCCAGCTTCACATCCCATTCATTCATTTCTTGCTCTATCCTTGCTATCGGTTAAAACTATCATTAATGCAGTCTACGCTGCTCCAATGGACAAGGAGATGCAGTGGACTGCCTGAAGCATCACTACTTCCCTGCAGCCCAGTTCCACCCTTGTGGCTCTTATTTTATTTCAGGTGAGTTCATCGTCGTACAGTATCTTCAGGCTTCAAGATTGTAATTGCAAAGCCAGTTCTTCAAGGCCATAACTTTACCCACAAAAAGAAGAGCTATAGAAGCCAATACACAATTTAAACAAATGAAGAAAACAGTTTTTCATTTCTCACAGCATATAAACAGCTACAGTAACTAGAAAATTCATGCATTTAAATTTACAAGTCTACTACACAATAATTTCAGAACTGTCACAGTGAAATTTATTCAAAGTACCTTTACAGCAAACTCCATATTTGTAGCTATGTGTATACATCGCTTGCAAACAGAGTAGGAACCAACACCAATATCTTCCTTCAGTTCATATACATCAGTAAACTGTGCGCTGTTTCCATGAAGTTGCTTTAAAAAAACCAAACACATACAAGCTGACATCTCAAGCAACAAGATGCTCTTTGCCATAATACTGTTTCCAACAGCAAAAGTTTCTTCTGCTTGCCCATGGCTTCTCTTTTGAATTCTGCCTCCAGAAAAACAGCAACTCGCTTTTTAAAATCTAAAAATATCCCATGGAAGCATTTTAATAATGCACATTTTATAATAGTCTCCTCAACAAAAAAGAACAGACTGTAAACACTAAATATTGGTCAATCTTTGGCACGTCAAAAAAGTTCCCCCAAAAATAAAATGTTACCTGTACTATTGGCAGTATATTGGTGAGTGGTGATATTTTATGATCTTCTACAGTAGTAGTTGCAACAAAACTAAATCCTTTGAAGAGCTGATGTGCATTCGCACTAGGTGGGACTCCTGGAGAATCTAGTGGCATACACATTTGATTTAACATGGCTAAATCCCAGCAAGGCTATTTTTTAAACATTCAGGAGAGATATGTTCGAAGAAACATTTTGAGGGAAGGGAAACAAACAAGAACACCACTAGATGTTGAATAAGACTTCTAGTCAATTATCTGTCTTCTCTTATTGAAATAACACACACAAAACAAGTATTCCTGGGTTTTATCTAAAACTGCAAAACACTGCAGGAACTAATGTATGAATACATGTTTTTAGGAAGAAGTTTACTGAAGCATAACACTACTTATGAGAAAGAAATAGAGATCATAGTCGTTTGTTCAAGGACTGCATCACAAAGAAGAGTGCCCACAGATTTTGCTATTTCAGTGGTACGTGTTGCTGGCAAGGCAGAAGTAAGGCAATACAAGAATATTCAATTAGTAATACTACTGAATAATTAGAACCAAATTTTCCTCAGATTATATTATGTGCACCTCTGAATTCACTGTTTGAAATTTCACAGTAAGCACAGCTTGATAATTCTGTGTAGCCTATTAGAACCATAGACATTCTCCAAACAAACATGACAAGTGGTTTTAAAAGTTGGATGCAGCAGTAAAGAAAAAAATTCACAAAAGCAAGCCTGAAGTGAAACTTGAAGCATACTAAGCAGTAAGTGTTTGCACTTACTGTCTTAGTTTCCAAGTTCAGTTACTTGGAGATTTTTCATAGTGCAATAATCTAAGGGATATTTTAAAGATAAATTTTCATAAGCTCCTTGAAACTATTTGAGATGTCTTCGCAACTGACCTAGTAGCACAGGTACCCAGACCACTGTACATTCTCTCCCCACCCTTCTCTACCTTTGAATCACCGTTTTCTCAAGAGTAAAGTCAAAGTCAGCATGGGTAGAGAGGGAACAGCTCAATGAAAATATTATTATAATGCTAGTTTTAAGATTTAATTTTATAATTATAATAATTAATAGGCTCAAGAAAGTTACTTAAAGCAAGTAATTTTCAGTGGAATACTGACCGTAAAAATAATCACTGCTCCAATCACATTTAGTTTACTTTTAGTATTGAATACTTCCCCCCAAACACTGCATGTCTGACTTTAAACCATAGCTAGAAACCATAATTCAGCGCTTAATATTCTTTTTTTTTTTTGGTGGTGGTGAATCAAAGTTTAGCACAATATTTCAAAGAATAGGAACCCGCTGAGGAGAACATACTCCTTCAAAGTACTGGAACCCTGTTCCACCCTTTCAATTTTGTCACTGGCTTTTTCTCTTAGTAAGCTGCTGCTTGTAACATTAATTTGACCCCCCTTGTCCCATGAACCTCACCCATTTATAACCATGCACAATTACCTTTTGGTGTTTTTGCTGTGAATTCTGGATCAAAACAAAAAGTATCTTCTGGCTTCCCAGAAGCTGGTTTAAATGGGGGTTGAATTTCTCTTCTGAACAGTTTCTGAAGTAGAAAGACAAAGTCATATAATTAAGAGTGAATGAAACTTCCATGGGTGCTGTAATTTTGCCAAGCTAAAGGGTAAACAACTCAAATGTTATTGTTGTATTAGAACATGTGAATTCTGGATCAAAACAAAAAGTATCTTCTGGCTTCCCAGAAGCTGGTTTAAATGGGGGTTGAATTTCTCTTCTGAACAGTTTCTGAAGTAGAAAGACAAAGTCATATAATTAAGAGTGAATGAAACTTCCATGGGTGCTGTAATTTTGCCAAGCTAAAGGGTAAACAACTCAAATGTTATTGTTGTATTAGAACAGTTTTCTGAAAGAGTGAATAATATATAGCGAGTAGAAAACCACAAATTTATACGGAAAGATTGAGTTACTTTCATGTACCTTTCATTTGAAATGCTACGGAAAATGTTACCGAGCAAGTCAAACAATATGGAGCAATTTTTCCTTATCCTTCCAAACCTGCCTCATCTAGCAGATCTGTACTTTTAAAACTACAACAGCAGGCTGCTACTTATCACTAGTTCATCCTTGGCTTATTCAGAACATGGAACAGCCATAGCGCATCTTACCTTCTACCATCACCTCAGATCTGGTTCACTGCTGTTTTAACAGAACCCTGAAAAACCCACCCCAAAGGGAAGATAATGGAATAGTCTTTACCTTTCTATTCTGGGTCCCAGACAAAGACCTCTCACGAGTGACAGGCATGAATCTCTTGGCAAGGAATTGCCAATTCTTAAAGCTCTACTCCAGGTTTTTCCTAATCTGCTGAACTAAGTCAGGGGGAAGGAAGGGAAAGCAGAACAATGGCTCCTCCTTTACTCAACATGCTTTAGAAAAATGCATCGTCCAAGTGATCTCAAATCAGCAATAAGTACTATTTTCAGTTAAGGAAGAGAAAATTTCATGTCAAATGATGTCGAAGCCCCATGCAAAGTTCAGGAAGTTCCAAGAACATTTTCTTGACATTTCTCTCATCTTTTCAGACCTATTTTTTGCAGTTCTTTTCATTTAATCTTCCTGCACAAGAACATGCAACGTATTTCAATTAAAAAAAAACAAACCACCCCAAAAAACAACAAGGAAGAGGGACTTGAATTCATCCCAAAGAAATAATGAGATACAACACAGAAGTGGTCATCAACACAACCATACTGAAATAAATACAAAGCACTGTTGAATAAAAAAAAAGTTAGAAGAAAAAAGAAAAAGAGTTAGAACTTCAGGTCTTTCAAACTTCCTTGCTGGTATTTATTACAACGTCAGTCCCTTACAAAAAAAAAAGTAGATAATCAAGCCATTACAACACAGCCTTCTCTTACGAAGTGTACTCATATAAAACAGTGAAGTTTTGCTGTTCCTGAAAACTTTACTTGCTAATCAGGACTCTATGGTAGATGCTGCATAAACACAGCTAGACAACCACCTTCTCAGAAGTAAATACAAGAGATAGAGAAGGATAATGACAACAGGCTTTAAAGAAACAGCTGAGCACAGCATTGGCTAGCATTGCAGGTAGTCCTGTCAGCACAGCAACATCTTATTTACTGTGTCTATCCTTTTGTAGGCATTATAGCAAAGGAGTGTTTTCCGAGGGGATTTATTTGATATAGAGCTTCTTAGTTTTGTGACTGGGAAACACATCTCAAAAGCTTAGAGAACCGCAAAGGAAAAGCATCAAGGTGCTTGTTAAAAATTTAAGCAAGCAATCATGAACTTGTACAGACTTCTGATCATCTCAGAGCACCAGAGTCAATATTTTAACTGTGAATGGAATATGATTGACAAAATAGGAATGTGCTGTGGCTAACTAGAGAGAAGTCAAAGATAATTACAGTCACGGTGAGTTTTTGCACCCTGCATGGAAGCACTAGACAGACACTTACTGAAGAGAAGGATTCTTGCACACAGGGAACACCAGCATCCTCTTCCAACTACAAATGCTCTAACAGACAATTTAAGCTTTAGAATGCTGCAACTATTATTTAAAAAGTAAATGCACCATTTATAATTAATACTCTCTATACCATAAATACTACAGCTCCAGATGCCAAGTAAGATTATAGTAGAAGCCAGAATGTAACAGCCAGCAGTAGTGCAGTGTTTATTGTGCCCTATTCAGATGCAAATACTTATAAAGCTATAACACATAGAAAAAATAAAAACAACTATCATTCAGATCATTTTGTACTTACATTCCAGTCAACAGTAGAAAAAAAAGGATGTCTCTTGATTTCTTCAACTCCATCTGAACCAGCTCCTGAACAAAGAAAATACTGTATTTAAAACACTTTTGGGTAAAGTCTTTGAAGACGACTGCACTAAAAATTAGTTCATTTCTAAAAACTTTGCATAGACATGGTTATTTGAGGGAATTGTAAATACAGAAATATTCCAAGGATGTAAAATACTCAATTAAGTAGTGTACACCTCATCAGGGAGGCAAACAGAGTACAAGAAGCCCATAAATACAGAGTCAATATTCTTTGCTCTGACACTGTCAACGCTTTGGCTCACTGCTACGTCTCAGTGGTCCAAGAAAGTAATCATTCATTAGCCAAACCCAGGAAGTCATGATCCACGCTAAGAAGAAATGGTATCTAAACACAAATCTTACTGACCATCCAGACCTTGAGAGTCTCTAGCAACTACTTTCTTTAAACAACCAACTCAACCCAAATATTTTTTTTTTTTCCCCAAAGATCCAAATAAACGAACCAACCTAATCTATTTGATGGGTTCCTTTTAAACAACATCCTCAGAAGACTTTGTGCTTCAGGGCTGAGGAACTGAGGCATTCCAAGTTTTGCTCTAAAGGAAAACACAGAATAAGAGGAAGAAATGTGTCTTACTAAAAATTGTCTACATAGACTTCATTGCACAATTTGATGTATCAAGGATCTATTCCAAAGTCTTGTAGAGTGTTCACATTTAACTCATCAGCTTTTAAGTTTTACGTTATATGAGTAGTTTTCGAAAACAAACAAAAAACCCACCACACCAGACCAAAAACCCCAAACCCCACCCAAGCCCCCAAAACAAGATTTAGGCTAAAAACGGAGTAAAACAATTATCTCAGAAATACCTATCTTTCAAAATACTATCTTCATGTCACCAGTAAGTTATCGCCAAAATACCTCTACCAGAATCAACGCCACAAGAGACTCACCAAATCCCAAATTACTTGCCCCTGAAGTGATTGCTAACATTCCTCTTGAAGCAAGAGGCTCAAGAAGTAGCTCATTAAGCCATTATATAAAAGCTTACTGACTTTACCAAGCTTATTTTATGAAAAACAATTATGCTAAGGCAAGAAATTCTTCTGCAGAACCATAGCATCCCTTACAGCTCCAAGTGAGGCTAGTGATCTCAGCCATCTGCTTTCACAGGTAATATCACTACAAACTCATACTCAGGGTGAGCTCAAACTGCGGTACGTTGTTAAGAACGGAGCTTCTCTCACCCCCTTCCCTGTCACCCCCCCAAAAGGCCCAAGGCTCTGCATGTGATCTAAAGGAAATTCTTTGTTAGCTAAGCACAAATAAAGACGAGAATTTATTTGCCCAACAACTTCACTTACTAATCACCAGTTTACCCAGTTTGTCTTGTTAGACAGCTTCTGTTGTAACTGAGATAATTTAATATGAAAAATGTGAGCACATAAGTGCACTCTCCATGTATACGTACACAAAGCAACACCTGATTAACTACTGCTTACAAAATGACGTTATGCTGTAACAGTAGCAAGAGAGCATAACCATGAGTGGTAAATAATGCTGTTCAAAATTCACCGTACTGTTTTTATCTTTATTATACACCTACAATGAAAATACAAGTTCATCCCTAAGATTTTAATTCCTGCAGATACTTAACAGTTGTTTACATGGTCCGTGATCTAAACCTTGTTTGGGGGGGCTTGGTTTTTTTGTTCCTGTTCTAGTTTATGCTCTTCAAGCAGGACTTACAACAAGCTGTCAAAACATGTTTAAAAAACTACATTTTCTGACTTTCCAAAAAGTAAGAAGATATACTTACTTCAGTATCATATTCATAGTTTCATTTCGATCTTTACCTTGAAATGGTAGCGTACCAGTAAGCATTTCAAACTGAAAAGAACAAATGTTAATCTAAATCAACACTTCTTCCCCCAATCGCTCAAACAAAGTGTTCAGTACTGTACTCTTCACTATCACTACATTAGACATACTGGCTCGAGCTTTTAAAAGATTATTAAAAAAATTCACAAATCTAAAATTTTGTTTTCATTGGCAGTTTACATGATAACAACAGCGGCAAGTATAATGTAATTATGACGTAGGAATATTTTACATGCATAAGCTACTTCAATTAAAGTAATAAAAATCCCCTCCATAACCTTGTTTCAGACATTGCTGTACTACGAAAAGAGCAAGAATAAGTTCTAAAACAGTACTTTACTGTTAATGTCAATATGCACATTTCAGCCTGATGCTCTAACACATCACGGCAAAGGCATAAGCGCTGGCAGTTACTGGCTTATTTCACTACTCCACTCTAGTATTTATTCAACAGGCTTACTCTTACAAAAATGCAATTAATATCCCATCAAACCAAGTCTTCAGTTTTTTTTTCTTTAACTATCAAGAACCATGCAAAATAAACATACAAACTGAAGTTTCACACTGACTACAATTGTTCTAAACTACTAATGGACTACATGTATGACTTTTGTGGTTCCTGGTAAGTACTCCTTACAGGGCTAAACAGGTGAAAAGTAATTTTTTTCAAATTAGTTGCTATTTCAGTAGCAATTCAGTTACTGAATTCTCTCTTCCCTTTACCCAAGCATTCATAATTAGATCTGGACAAGCTTATTCTAAACACATTATTTCACATTAGACATATACAGTGTATTTCTGACCTGTAAGCAAGGTAAGCAACAAAGCATACAGTACCATAAGAACACCAAAGGACCACCAGTCAGCACTCTGGTTGTGCCCTCGCCTGTTTACTACTTCAGGTGCCATGTATTCTACAGTACCACAGAAAGAATAGGCCTTCTTCTCTTGATCTACTGATTCTTTGCTGAGTCCAAAGTCTACAACAACAGCATTACAAGAATATAGCCAGTAAAGAACTTTAGGAAAAAGCAATACTGTATACGGTATTTCAAAATCAAAGCATTGACAGCTTTTGTTTGTTTGCTTTCAGGAATATTACGTGATTATCCCAGCTCTTCATGAAACAAGAAGCTGCAGATATCTAGAGATACACAGTAAATTAAATGTCTGAGGTATCACCAAAACCATTCTATAACTCCTATTAATTTGATGATTAGCCATCAATATTACTATTCCAAATAATAACTACTCAATATTTGAAATATTACACATTTAGAGCCTTTCGATAATCCAAAGGTCTCATTTTCTGTTTACTGCCTGCTTTATTCACACAAAAAATGGATACAAGTAAAAATAAGTTTCAATGAGAACACAGTCTGCATGGTCTAGTATTACTGAATGATGAATAAATAAAATCAGACTAAAAATAACGTTGTTATATAAGACAACATGGTTCTGCAACCTGACTCAAGTTCTATAAAAGAAGTCTTGCATATCTGCTCACTTTATTCCCAGAATACTTTTTTTTTTCCTTGTTTGAACAATGCCATTGAATACACAAGGCCTTGATATTAGCCCTACTCTCAAGACTAGGCTCTGAAGCGTCCCTTTTTTCAAAGGGTAAGTGATTGCTAATCAATAATCCCATCAATCATTCTTTCCACTTTCAGAAGGAAGTAAGAATTTTAGGATTGAATTGGATTTAAATATATCATGTAGAATTTTAAAAATGATGTGTTTTATAAGCATTATTTCCATTATTCCATCAAATCTTTAGGAGTTTAAAACTTCTTTTTCTCTTGGAATCTAATAGCAGTATCTATAGATCAAAAGATATAATGAAATTTGTAACACAAAAGTATCACCTTAAATGTAATTTAAAGCTTTCAGAAATTCATAGTAATTTGTTTTCCAAATAATCAGTCTTCTGTATATATAATTTCCTAGAATATATGTATTTTACTTGTTCCTCATGGAACATTTTCCTGTCACTTTTAAATGCATATAAAATTGCAATCCAGAAACACACACACAGAGCAGTATCAATTTTATATGCATTTAAAAGTGACAATCCAGAAACACACACACAGAGCAGTATTTCAGAAGTCTTATTGCGCACTAAAATCTTTTTACACCAAAAGCACTTCTGCTCCCTTTTAAAAGTCTCCCAGTCAGCAACTTTTAGCCTGGGTCTATAACCTCTTGGTCTTCACCTAAAAGGCATTTCACAGTACATCTTGACACAGCTCACTTTCTAACCTGAACAGCGGACAGTTTTAGTTAATAACACACCACCACCTGAACTAAAGTTCCTTAAAAAAAACCACATTCAATGTCTCGTTTTGTATTTTCAACTACACTTCTTCTATTTTAACCACAGCAATTAGGATCTGCACTTTACAGTAATATTTCTGCTAACACTGCAGCTTGATCTATGCAAATATTAGCCAACATGAAAACTAACTTCAGTGGAACCTGCATAGACATCAGGATCTGGTAAAAGACTGTCAGATACAGTCTCTGATTATCTAAAATACTTCAATAAAAGTACTTAATACTACATAAAGAATCATTAGCTAGGGAAGGGACACAGATTTATTATAAGAAGTCTGTCCAATAAAAAACTTTTCTAAACAGCTAAGTACCAGCTCACACATACTCCAGCCATCACTATGTATATCTTAGGCTTATAACTAAAAGTTTATACAGAAATACATTCAGAAAGTGCTATACTAATAAATGTTACCTACCTGTTAACTTGATATGTCCTGCTTCATCAAGCAAAATGCTGAAAATTAAAATTCACATTCACCAATACACATAAAGAGGAATGTTCACATAACATTTAAAATATAATAGTTAACAATTTTGATCTCCAACTTCTAAAATATAATTTAACAATTTTGATCTCCAACTTCTGTCATTAATTTAACAAGCCAATATTATTTCACTTAAATTACAGGTATATTTTCTTACATTTTATGTTTGTTTACATAGTCTAACAAAAATATTTTACAGTTTTTACATCACTATAGTGGGAGATGCAAAGCAACAAGCAAAATACACATAAGAGTGGTAAAATACATTTTACTTTACTTTTCTGGCTTCAGGTCCCTGTATACAATTCCCAAGCTGTGAAGGTGATCCAAAGCAAGGGCCAGTTCTGCGAGGTAGAATTTCACATCTTCCTCTGTAAACATAACCTAATAAGAACTGTATAGATTTACCTTCTGATCTTGTCTTCAGTTTTTAAAACTGCAATCTAAAAAAAATACTCCTGTCTGCCTAAATTTCAAAATACGTTTTAGAAGTACCTTATGAACTCATAATTTATGAATTCATCTAACAGAAATGATATGCTAATACAGGTTAACCATCAAGTATACAAAAGAACTACTTGCAAAACTTAAACAATATCATCAGCAGTTACTGCAGAGCATTAGTTAAGTTTTAAGGTAATAAGTTTAATTATATTTGGTGTTACTGACCACCAGCACTCCTTCTGCCACAATCCTACATAGACTGCTTTCCACTGCATCATAAAATTTAGTATACAACTGCTGTATTGGGTGACTGTGAATTCACATTACCAATATTTAGGAAAAAAGTAGAAATCATTTAGAAAAAAGCATGCAAAAATAAAACATTTTGTGAAAATAACAATGACGTGAAAATCTACAGTGGGAGTTGAAGGAAGAACCTACTCTGCTCTTAGGAAAAGAAATTCGAAGAACCCTAGTGAGATACTGAAAAACTGACTGACCTTGCATATAGAGCATTTCGGAGAAATGCATTTCTGTCCTAAATACTCAACAGGTTGCTTCTAATTTCGTATACAAGAATCATATCTGCTTTGGCTCTTGTCACGTTCTACAAATTGCCAGGGGAGCTAGCAATCTTTAAAACCTCAAACGCAATTCCAGAAATTAAGTGAACTACTCCCTTATTTGTTGAAAACACCAGGAACATGGAGAACAGCCATCTCAACTACACAGTAGATAGCTAACAAGACTTAACTGAGCTTACCGATTTAGTAGTAAACCGATCAGTACTTCAAATTGCACATACGTAATCTGTTCTACTGGCAACAGAAATACTCATTTCCATAGTGACATGTATTAATATCATATGGACAACAAAGCTGTTACACTACGTAATGTTTCTCCTTGATTTTATAAAGAGCAATGTTGATACTGTTACTCATCTATATCCAAAAGGGCAAGAGGAAACCTTGGATATCATTACTCCTTGGAACAGCCAAAATGCAAGTCTCAGAACACAATGATGCTAAATGGTAATCTACAATCTCCCAATAATAATTTCATTTAAAACTGCTTTCTGTGTCAAATTAAATACAATGCAAGTCAACTTCATTAAATTTTCCCAATGAAAACTTCATTAAATACTCATTTCACTTCCACAGCTGAAACTCTCATACCCACATTAGCATTTAAAGACCAACAAAAGTGTTTTAATAACCTCATACGAAACCCAATTAATTTAAAATAATCCTTGTGTGGAAAGTATGAAATGCCATGGGGAATTTACCCTCATGTGTATTGTCCACTGTCTTTGTTTTACCATGCACTTTTGAAAATATCTTGTCTTCCCACCAGAAAATAAAAAGACCTGATGTTTTTCTTATCTATATACTCAGTAAGTGTTTAAAAGCCATCGTAGAAGGTAACTGAAGTCTTCCAAAAAACATGTAGAGACTTAACAGTAAGAAAACTTCGCAATTACTACTTCTTTATTCCCAAAGGGACTATATACCCCTTTCAACAACCTAGCTCATATTATTATGAATAGACTTGCATCCCTTATCTAAGAACGTTACATACTGTGTAATCCCAGCTGTGTTAGTGCAAAAGAATAGTTCTTCCTGCTATACCAGAATTTCCTCTATAATTAGACATCCTATATCAAAGCAGAGATTGACCTCTTTCCTACCTAATGTTCCAATAACCCTTTACAAGTCAGTCAGTTTGTTTAAGCTTTTAACCTCCATTTTAGCCTCAAGGTTAATTAATTTTGAGCTCAATTCTTAGACATGATCACTGTTTTACCAAGGTCAGCTTTTTATAAAAAAAGGAAAACAAAACCCCCTTTAAATTCTTCCTTCTCTTTTGCCTGTTCCAAGTAAAGCTTTATTTTTTCAAAAAGTACATGGGGGGAAAAAACTCAAATAGTTCATGGCCTTACATACTGGGGATACAACAACCTCCTTCATGTCATGAAAAAAATCAGCCAGATGCTACTTCCTTAAATGAGAAAACTGGGTTTTTCCTATGCATTAGCAATATAAATGTATTTACACTGGTGAAAACACTGAAAAGCTCTCTTACTGTGAAGTTGTTGAGAAAGTGCCATTAAAAATTTAGATCTTTATGAAAGGTTTGCACAAAGAAAAGTCTTATAAACATGTTCATAATACTTAAGGTAACATATAACAAATTTGATGACAAAAGTTTTTAAAAAAAATAACAGGCTGTATCATATTCCTTCCTCTGAAGCGCTTTCTCCAGAAAACAAAAATAGAAATGAAAAATTAAAGTTCCAGTTGCATGCCAACGTTAGATGAAGGAGAGTGGTCTCAAAGAAACTCAGTGTTCACACTTTGTGAGATTAAGCATTAATGTATTACAGCATTATGAAATTTTACAATGCAGCAGAAACCTCCTATAGATGCTGGCTTCCAGGAGCACCTAAGCCGACTATGAGCACGAGAACTATACATCCCCTTTCTTTATTGCTAAATCTTAATTCACTTCAGTTAGGTTTCCAAGCAACAGAACATTTTTAGACAAAAGAACTGTCCTTTGTAGATACCAAAGAAAAACATAGGCTACTAATCAATGCACACTCATGTTTCTTAAGCTTATAGAATATATTCTAGAATACATAAGGGAAGCCCAACTAAGTTATTAAAAACTTGACTATGACAAGAATTATGAGGGAAACAGCTATAGAAGACAATCCTATACTGACAAAAACAACCCACCTGCCTAACACTGAGTGGAGATAAAATTTTTAGTACTTACCTCTTTGGATAATCGCGTGAATACATCTCCTCCCCTGAGAAAATCCAATATTAAATATAGCTTCCCTTCAGTCTGAAAGGCTTTAAAAAAAAAATATAAAAAATATCAATAGTTGTGTGACAAAGATGATCTACAAAACAGATCTGAATGCTTTTACAACTTGGAAATTTCAGTGAAAGGCAATACTTTTGTTTTGGAACTGAAATAATTCAGCAGCACACGAGGTAATTTATTGAATGATTACTTGCTTCTTCATAGAAGACAATCTTAGTCATAAATCATTAAAATACTGTTCTTTTATCTCCCCTTTGTCAAACAGGGAAACACCAAGTATGTGAATTACTGTGTTCTGGTTTCACTCAATGAAAAGTAAAAAATCTCTGCAGAACTTGTAAGAATTTTCCAGGAAACCTTTAATTTCAAAAGGACTTAACCTAAAACTTTTATATATGTGTGTATTTACATTCTTTTTTTTAGTCTTGTGATTTAAACTTGCAGGAACCTCAGTTGAGCACTAAAATGAACACTACAAAACTGAGAAAGAACAAGATCAGCTATGCCTTTAAAGTATTGAAAGAAACTGTAGCAAAAAAAATACCAACCATAGTGCAGTTTGACGATAAATGGATGATTTACTTCTACTAATATATCTCTCTCCATTTTTGTACGAACTCTATCCCGAACTGAGGAAAAAGAAAAAGAAAAAAGACTAGTGTGAAACAAATGTATTTGGTATAATACAAATGGAGCAGAAATTAGCATATGGCAGTTCTTTGCTGTCTAAAGAAGTACTCTTCCTTGTACCCTATTTGTTTTTAATTTTTAAGTTTCCCACAAAACACATGCTTTCAGACAGCAAAACTCTAACGTGTTTCTCACCTGCCCCAGCTTCCTTAATGTCTACAGGTTTTTTTCCCAACACATCCCAATATTTTGTGATAAACCATATTACTTTCAAGAAAGAAGTTCCCATCTACACTTCCAGGCAGCTAACTTCAACCTCTGAATTAACTATCTGTACTGAATATATATTTTCTGTCTGTTAAGATCACTTTTTCCTCTTCAACTAGTAACAGTCCCTATTTACACACAGTGGAGTTGCATCCACTAAAGTTTCTTCTGAAAGCCAAAACAGTAAGCTAGCTTGCTCTGGCACCTACAACAAGAGGGAACAACTTAACATTTTTAACCACAGTAGAGTTCTAACTTAACAAAAGAAGAAAAGAGGAAAGTTTTTTATGAAATTAATTTGTTTTAATATAATGAAAAGACTAAACAATTAAATAATGCAATTTTAAACTTTGAAAGAGTACTTTTTACCACATAATTAAAGTTATCTGGCCAGATTTAAAATAAATCTTAAACATGATCTTACAAGTTATTCTAGAAAAAAGCTACTGTCAGAGAAGAGTTATGAACTCACTGAAAATGATTTAAGATCTAAAAAAATATTTTAGAAAGAAGTATTTACAAGACTCATTTAAGAGATACAGTTGCACTGAAAACCATTTTCTGAAGTGCCATTTCGAAAAACACACATACCTTTCAAAGAAGCTTTTTTCAATACTTTCATTGCATAAAGTTGCCCAGCATCAGGACCAATTATTTTCCGTACAAGGAAGACCTGGTAATATAAACACCACTTAAAATTACTGCTAAAAATATTTTACGTAAACCTGACTAAAAACCATTACTATGTCTTTACTTTTAACTTCATTAATATAGACAAGGAGATAGCATGTCCCTAGTCCCATCCTATTCCTCAAAAAACTCTGAGGAACGAAAAGATGCCAAATGTTCATAGTAAGTCTCTTTGCATAAGCAAGCTTAGTAATCAAATAAGCAACTATCACAAAGCATTTACAAACCTCCTATTAATTTCAGACAGCTTTCAGTGTTCTTTCCTAAGTACACATCTTTAAAGGAAGGGCAAAATTGCATTCCCTTAATCAGACTAGAGGTACATGCACCACCGTGCACTCTGAAGTACTCAGAATGGTCATAAACTATACATTCTTTCCTACAGCAAGCCATTTAAATAAGCACTTATCAAATAAGTACTTACATAAATGTGTTTCTTAATATTACTTTCTTGGAGAATGACAATTCTGCCTGGTCTGCCACCTCCCAAAAGATTTTTGAGGTTTAAGACCCAAGTCTCAAATATGTAACAGGCTATACTAATGAATTCTGTAAGAGTGGCGAGACGAAAGCAGGGAAACCTCACCATTTAAGACCAAAGCACCCTTTCCCTCTGGAATAGCAACTCCAACAGGTTTTTCTGCTCTTTTCTTTCCAGAGGAGTTTTAAAGATAGATGGTATATAACTTGACGCTCAGAAAAGCATATTTTTAGATAAAATAATGCAGTACAAATACATGCACTTCTGCTAATATTCTAACTACCAGGTCTTTCAATTTACAAAATTGTTTGGTATGTGCTCCTGGTTCCAAGTTGTTGTTCTTATAATAGCAATTATTAGTTATGAGGAATGTTTGTACTGTAAAAAAAAAAAATGTACAAGTCACAGGGAATGCAAAGAGCTACCTGAAAGAGCTACCTGAAATTGCCTCTCTGATCTTACCTTATTCAGATTTTCATTAACACTAGATTTATTTATATATATACTTTGTTGGAAATTACTAAATATTTAGAAATTATTAAAAAAAAAATCAAATAAACTTGCCAACTTTTCCATTCTAGAATCAGAAATTCTGAGACATTTGATTTTTAATTTCATTTCTGCAATCTGACACCAAGTGGCACATTACAAAATCACTTGTAGATCACTTGACAAATACAGCAAAATAAAAAACTGAAATACATTTCACAGGTTATTTACTTCGTTACATTAGTTCAAGTTCCAAACTACCACAATCATTCCTCTGTATCTACATCACTACAGATTTCATATATTGAAGAAAGTAAAACATTCACAGCGTGTCAAGTACCATCACTAAAAGACAAATCACCGTCTCCTCCGTAAGTGTCTATCAATGTTTATTACACCGCTGGTGCCTCCCAAGCATCAACCTAAACTACAGAAGATGCAAAGCAACCTATATAGAACGGAGATATTGTTCATTCTGACTCCTCACTAGATGCTGCAATAAAGTCTTGAGGCAGCTGAAAACACTATTATTTTATTTCAAACAGCCATGGCATTAGGCAAACAGAGCTTGACAACACCAGAGCTGCTGCACAAAAACCACCCCTAACTCTATAACCCAACTGGTAATATCCCTTGCTGTTGGTGCCATTGTTGCCATGAAGCTGCAGATGCCAGTCCAGATGAACTACAAACATGCCTCTCTGTTCAGTTAAAGCAAACGGTAACCTTCCATGGCAGACCTCCTAAAATTTGCTACTGACTCACCCTTCTGCCTAGAGACTGAGGCTGTTGCCTCTCTGTCTCTGATATGATTTGGTGTCCTGCTATAAACAGTGCTCCCTTGGCACCAGAGCAAGACTGGGAAAAGATGGAACTTGTCAATAACTTTCCAAACATTCCCAGCCACTCTGCTACAGCACTGTCTGTCTTATCCAAAAATGTACTTCAGCTAACCCTTCCCAGGTTGACTGTCTGGACCGGTCTACGGAGAAAGATCGCTTTTCCTCTAAAAAATGCAAAGTCAGAAAGGCTATCATAGTAAAAACAAAAACAAAAAAAACCCCACATCAACCACCTGAAAAACAGGATGGGTAACTTCCTCCAAAACAGGGCAACGTCCACGAGCATATCTACCTGTATTCATATTTGTTAGGTTTATACCTAACCTTGTAGTATTATAGAAATAAGGGAAGAAAAATACTAATAAGACAAAGCAGGTTCAAAATGGACATCAGATGAAAACAAAGTTTGTTATCTTACCTTTCCAAATGATCCCTGTCCAAGAACCTTAAGTAGTTCAAACTGTGCTGGATCTGCTTTCTCACATCCTTCTTTCACATGATGTGTAATAGGAATTTCTTTCACACTTCCTTCATCCTATTATTTCAAGGCAAACAAAAATACAACAATGAACAGGCCTGAATTAAGGAACTCATTAGAAATGCATGTAAATGCCTGCTCTTTTCTTGTTTGTTTTTTTGTTTGTTTTTTTTTTAAATAAAATATTTGAAATTCTAATAAGGCATAAAAGAAAGCTGTTCAAATGAAGTTTTCCCATCCATTCTTTCTTAAATAAATGCATTAAAAAAATTTCTAAACTGAAGTAAAATTCTCAAAGAATGCTCATTTCCTTTTGTCATAAATATTACAACTACAGCAAAGACGGATTTTCTTACATGAAAGGAATAAACACCTAGATTTTTAAACCAAGTCTAAGATGATCCTCCCGTGCTTCACCTCTGTTTTAGCAGCCTTTAGTTTTCCCAGCGATTACTCTTCTCATCTTTCCCTTTCCTGAAATAGTCTTAATGAAAGCTAAATTGAATTTCATCATTTTAGATAATTATTGCTTTTCACAGCAGCAAATAATACTTATGGTCATCCAGTTGTAGCTAAAGGAACATGCATCGTTTGAAGAGCATAAATAAGATATGAGTCATCTTAAGAACTCTGAATCCTTGCATCCAACAGAAGAAACACAGCTCTGGGGTGCAGAGCTCATGGAAAGACTATCCTGTGTGGAGACCTCCTTCAGAAAGCTGAGGGTAATTCTGAGGTAGGTAAAAGATTCAGTGTTCTGTTGACTTTTTCCTGTTACTCTCACCTTCAGCGAAGCCGGGCACAGCAGCCACGATTGTGAAAAGACAAACATTCATGATGAAAACAAATCAGATGATGTATTGCAGCTTTTATGGTGTAAGAGAAGTTTCTGTGAGCCAAAGCAAGTGAGGCATCAAAATAAGCACCCTTGAAACTACAAACTACGTGCTAAGGCCTACAAGAGCAACGTGAGCTTGCACGTACAAAAGGAGCGGCACCACTCAAGCCCTACCAAGAATACCAATTAATTTCTTGCACACTGCAAATACAACCCAATCACAACAGAAAATCCCACCCCATCTGCAGTACTTTGATGTCTTTAGGGTATCCAAATGATTATTAACTGTCCTCCTATCTTCTCTTTAGATATTAATCTTGAAAGCTTCTCTACTTTAGTAGAGACCAGAAAAACACCCTACCAACCTACAGTGCATTGCTCTCCCTCAATGACAAGTATGCAACACCACCAGAAAAAGGCCTGACCACTTGATGAAACAATTGGTTTTAGGAAAGAACATCACTCTAGAGTCAGGTTGACTACAGAAAGTCTTGCTGCCCAAGACCATGCATTAAAACTTATAATCAATGTTATCAGACTTGATACAGAAGTATTTAGATAAAATTATCTAGGTGGGATTACACAGAAATTCAGAGTAGAAATGTGATCATCTAAATGTATATGTACTTACTGCAATAATTAAAAAAAAAAAAGGGGGGGGGCAATAATCACACTGCATTAACTGTCTATGCCTTAATTGCTTTGTTTGTCCAGAGTGGGGAAAGAAAGAGTTCAAACTAACCTCTTAGTATATTCACAAACTGTAGTCCAGCTGTTACTGCACATGAGTCCTTTCCCCTCTCCTACATCTCTCATTTCATACTCTTTCTGCAAAAGGCCTGTTTGTTCTGCCTGCTTCCCATGCAAAGGTAGGTATTAACACAAGACACTGCTGGATAACAAAGTTAATTCTTCAATTCACACTCTAAGCTACTTTATTTCCCTCTTTGTGAACAAAAACACAGCTGACATACACTGACAATACAGTGTATACATCCCAACTTCATTTCATCCATCCATCTTGTTGACTATGCATATACGTATTCATAGGAAAGATGCACATCTTTTCATTTTTATTTCTTTTTTTTTTAAACACATGCCTGGAATTTAAGGCAGGTAGGAACACTAGCATTTCAAGTCATTGATGACAGATGAAAGCAGTGATTCCTCTAGTTATACACCAAGTGTACAACAGACTTAATAGCTGGTTCTTTCTATGAAATATGTAAATACTCTATTTAGAAGCCTTTTTACTTGAACGTCCTTATTTGTATTCCTTAACACTGTGAACCTTTGCATGAGAAAAGATCTTTAACAGTTCATCTGCACTTCTGTTTATCACCCACCTTGAGTCATTAGCCTGTGACATCACATGTGGTTGCTGCGGAGACTGACAGTATTTCTAAATGTGAACTGAGGAGAAAAATGTTTTCCATGCAAATAAAGAATAACTTGAGATGTATGAAATTAATTATTTTTTTTATGGAGTGTTTTACCTTCACAAAAGATGTCTATATAATTTCACCTACTTAACTATCATTAAAGTACTAAAAATTGGCATGACTGAAGTATAAAAAGACCTCTGCACCATCAACAAGAAATGACCAGGTAAAGAGCTGAACAGATATATAAGCCAGTTTCATTTTCATTTCTAGTTTGGCCTCCATGAACTGCAAATTTGGCAGGTTTTTTTGTGCTCTGCTGCTTGAGCCGCAAATCTATTTCAGGGCTCAGGTACCAGCTTCCACCAAAGTCGCCTTGCAAAAGAGGTAACTATTCCCAGCAGGTTTGACAGAAGACAAAGCACTGAAAGAAACGCCGCAATCAGTTATGGCTTTGTGCCATCTTACTTTGTTACAGCTTGACTGGTATGTAGCTCCAAGCACCTAACAAGCAAGCTCAGCAACATCCTTCTGGTTCAAGTACAGTGAAGGATTAAGACAACCCATTGCTCATCTTTCTTTGCTATGTGTAAGATGACTATGACACTGATAGTTTATTTACTTACTCCACACCAGGAAATAACCAAGCACCACATGCTTCTACCCCAAGAGTTTATTCTCCAAATCACTTACTTGAAAAGGTATTATTGCAATACAAAGCAGTGGTTACAACTGGCACTAAGATCTACTTGATACCTTCTTCCGTGATCCTGTTCAAGAATATATGGATATGTGTGTCGAAAAACGATGGCCAATTTTTCCATGCAAAGTCAGGCATTTCACCACATAGAGAATTAGCCTGAAGTTTAGTCCAAGATTTAGCCAACATACAGAACACTGATCTTCAGCATCTCCTACATATGCACATCACCAAGGCACTGGACAAAAATCATGCTCAACAAGGTTTATCTGAGATATTTCTACATAAAAGTCAAATTAACATACTGGTGTAAAAATAAATTCTGTTCTAAAATAGCAGGAATTAAGTACCTTCTAGATGAATGTACAGCGACTACATTAAAAAATACAAAAGGAAGAACAGATGACAGTGTAATAAGAGCAACATTAAGCACATGGTGTATAAAAGGTTCAAGGTTGGACTGAGCATTTTCTGAGGTTGAGGGATCTGTAAATGCTCTATCTCCAGCACACAGAATCTGTTTTCCATAAAGCACTGCCTCATGCGGCAAACTTTCCCAAACAAGGCGCTTACGGCCCACACCCAGGTATAATTTTCAAAATAATCTTCAAGACTTAGGATCTCTTCAGATCCAGTCAAATAAAATGATAGGTTCAAAAGTTACTAAAGAGCAGAGAATGCATAAATTTGTCTTCAAAAGGAAGTCATGCTAATGAGTGTCTAAACATCTATCAAATATACTTACGTGGTAGGAATATGGTTCACCTTCTTCCATAGGCTCATCTGCCATTTTAAGGCCATTTAGCTGGAGAGGGGAAGGAAAGAGAATGCAGAAGAGAAAGAAAAAAACAAAAACAACATTAAGACCTAACAATTTCAAATAAGCAGAATTTATAATTTGACCAATCTACATTTCAGAGCACACAAATGAAAAACTGGTGTTCTTGTTGCTCTAATTTACAACTGTAGTTTCAAACAAATACTACTGCTTAGTAGTTTTATTTAGCATCTCCCTCATGTAGCTTATCCCTTTGTAAATGCCATTCCATAGTTATTTAATTGGAATTAATTTAAAATTCCTTCTTTAAAAGCTACAGATGCCATCCATACAAGATGACACTAATATAAAATTCTTCTGTTGTGCACAAAATTTATGTTGCGGATACTTTTCAGAAACCTAAAATCCTAAAATCTGCTGCTGAAAATTAATTTGCAGTTTAAGGAGAAAAGATTCAAAAGTGATTTCAAGTCTTTTTGGGGCAAAAGGGAGAAGTGCAAGATGAGGTAGAACAGAGAATACATACCATAGAATTCTTATGCATAAAAATAATTACCTATTTCCTTAAAAAGTTAGACTCCTCTAAAAATTTGCTTGCATCAGAAGTTATTTAGATATCTAGCAATTAGAATACTCAAATTTTAATGAATTTAGAAACTGATCTGTATATTAAAATATTTGTGGATCAATTTCAAAAATAACACCTTTAAGAGGCAAAAAAGTATGATGTGTCTAGACAGAAGCAAATAAATGACATGCTCTTAAGTGAGCACCACACTTGCTAGCATTTGCCTACCCCTTCACACACTTCAAACAAAGATATCAAACCCACAGTCACAGTAAAAAAAAAGTTTAATTTATAGATGAAGTTTAGTTTAAGCTCTCCTTAAGTAAGAAACAATTCAATGCTTTTGAACAACTGAAACAAAAAAAAAACCCCACAGAAATATAAAGGACATGCTCTAATGAGCACCACACTTGCTAGCATTTGCCTACCCCTTCACACACTTCAAACAAAGATATCAAACCCACAGTCACAGTAAAAAAAAAGTTTAATTTATAGATGAAGTTTAGTTTAAGCTCTCCTTAAGTAAGAAACAATTCAATGCTTTTGAACAACTGAAACAAAAAAAAAACCCCACAGAAATATAAAGGACATGCTCTGTTTCAACATGCAAAGCATTAATTAAAAACTGGAAATACCTGACAAAATGGGTGAAGCCAATAATTGCTAATTTATTTATATGTTAATTGTTCTGCATCACTACCTTCATGTGGCACAAATGTCACACAACAAAATACTAACTAGAAATAACACAAGGAAACTCAAACAATTTTTTTCCTGAAAACCGAAGTTGAAGCAATTAAGTTCCTGAACCAAGTAATGACATTTTTTTCTTGTACTTCTGAATTTATCTAAAACACATGCCTAAGATACCACAATATGGTATGATTATCAGCATGTGAACCGGTAAAACTACTAGGACTACAAAGAATCTTGAAATGCCATATAGACCATGCCCCTGTTTAAGAACAAAACAAAAAACTCGACAAACAGGTAGGGCTGCAGGGACAGGTTTATACCACCACAATTGCGTCGCCTAAGCAAACTCAACCACTTCCACTGCTTCTTCTAGGACTCTTGATTTCAAGTAGAGCTTTTAAGAGCTAAGTTCTAAATTAATGATTTTGATAACATTAAATCTCTAATTTCTGTATCAAGATACTGGCACTTATTTTTGGATTATATCCTCACGGAAAAAAAAAAAATCTCAAGGAAAGTAGCATCAGGCTTTGGTTACTTTCACTCTTCTCTAAGTTTCCATTTATTTTAACCACAGTTTACACACATACTCTTCACATTAACTACAAACCATCAGTTTAACCCAGTGCTGGCATATTCAACACATGTTCATCATTCATATATATCATGCATTGCCACCCTAATTTCTCAAGGCCAAAAATCACTGACCTATTACCCTAGATTCAGAAACCTCACATATGCTACAGAAACCAATGCTACTAACTAACTTGCTACATAATTTATTTCTTTTTTGCATAACTATTTTTTCCAAATTAGACACTGAGAGGGATGGGACACCCACTATACTTGTTATTGTATGACTTAATTGGATAAATCAAGAAACAATGCCAAAGTTCAGACCAGATATGAACTCCAACCTCATTTCAGATGATTCACTGCCATGTGATTTCTTTTCACAATATCACTAGATTACATTCAAGCGTGAATTAACGTGAGGCCCACTGAAGTTGTCCAAAAAACTTATTTGGACCTAGCAAGAAAATGGGTTTCCACTCCAGGTGCTCAGAAATGATACAATTCCTCACTCATGGACTTTAATTTGAAGTTAATTTAGTGTGCATTTCAACTTTTCTTTCTTTAAATATGGTCAATGTTTTCCAAGACTTTTTTACTTAAATTTAAGCTCTGGAACCAATACCACTAGCCAGAAGAGCTGCAGATACACTGAAAACAGTCGCTTAACTCCAGGCAACCAGATACAGAAAGCTGTCACTGCTGGAATGGAGTTTTGAACCAAAAATCAGCATGTTATTTGATCTACACAGTTCCCGAGCACGCCATGTAGGCATACTTTCAAGCTTTCTGGCAAATCAAATCTAGTAAGTTATTGGATTTTTATGGCAGGTAATCAAATGTCATCTTAATTAACAATTTCCTATCATACACTTTTCCCCTTTATTGTTGCTCATGTTTTTGGTTTTTTTTTTCCTGTCCAGTCTCTCTATAGACTACACAGACTGGGATGCCTGCCAATTTTTAGTTCAAAGAATTTTATGGTCAAGTGCACGAATCCACTTTTATTGCCTGATATTCACGACTACACTTTTCCATTATTTGTTTGTGAATGCTGGTCACTATCCATTAAAAAAAACAAAACAAAAAACCCCACCAACAAACTTGTTGGCTTGCAACCTGAAGTCTAGTAGTTTTAAAGAACTAGTAGTTTGCTAGTTATTCAGTTTTAAAAAAATATCAATGACAAATGAAATCATTACTGTTCTGTAGTTACTTATATTGGCCAAATTTCAGTAACTAGAAGTTTCTCCACTGTCTCTCGTATTAGGCAAAAAAGAAAAACTACAATTAATACTTAATTCCCACCTTTACGGAAACCAAATACAAAATTCTCCTTCCACAGCCAACTGGGACCCCTTTTAGTGATTTAATCATTAATATTTATGCACAAACATATATAGAACAGAACTATTTTATCCTCTAAGTCATTACTTACTAAATATCTATGAATGCACAAATTTAATTTATTATTGAGAATTAGAAAGCACATATCTCTAAGAGAACAGGTGAAAGGAAGCAAGTACCATTATTCTGAAGGAGATTCTTTCATCCTTGAAGCATTTTGCTGTTCAGTACTGCTAAACTCCTACAATTAACTGAACGTTTTAAATATTAACTGTCTTTAAGACACAAACTAAACTCAGACATTTAGGCAAACAGTGTCAATACTTTCCAACTAAAAAAAAATCTTAAGTTAGAGAAAGTATTCCGCATTGTTGATCAGTATAAAAATAACCAAAACCACTACATAAAAAGAGATGAAAACAAAGTTAGGGTCAGACAACCTGGCAGCTAAGAAACTTACTTTTCCAGAGGTGCAGGCTAGAGACCCAATCCTCCGATGCCAAACTGCCTCTGAGGGAACACAGCGCAATCTGCCTTCTGATTTAAATAGCTGCAATGGATCCCATGACCAGCTAGGACTATACCCTATTACCTCAGGAGAATATCCAAAGGGCTTTCGTGGGCTGGTAAAAAGCTTAACTACTATTGCACATGTTTTTCCTCTGATAATTACAGCAGAACAGAAGAATCCCAGTATTATCAAAGACTAGAACCATCTTCCCCCCCCACATTAAGGATGTTTTAACAGTTTACATGGTAAATACGTTATGGTTTGGTGGGTCTATAGGTTTTGGCCAAAAGAAGCTAGACAAATGGTCAGCAAGAATGCCTAACTACACGGGAAAACAGCAGAAGAGGTAAAGCTGGTTCATTCTGCCCTGTTTTTACACGTCTTCATTTAAGCATTCAAACAATTAAAAATTTTATAGAAAAAAACAGAACTGGGAATTTTATAGTCATAATATTATTAGAAGTAGAAAGCATTATTCATCACCACCCATGTATAATCTAGCCTGGCTTCAAATGGGTCAAATTCTACATAAGGATCAACAAAAGCTTCCGCATCCTCCACGGTTCCTCCTTCACTGCGCTCAGTTTGCAAAGTTACTGCAGCTACAGTCACCAGACCCACACCTCTCAGTTCTTCCAAATGAACACAAGACAAACCAGTTTGCTTCCCCACATACAAAAGTATTACTTCAAATACTTATTTCAAAATATTAGAGTGGACGCTTACATTAGAAATCCCAATTATTTTGAAAAGACTTTGAAAAAAATCCTGTTAAGACAACCACATTTGTTCCTTATTTATTTTGAATTACATCTGCAGAGAGTTTGCATCATTAATTTAATTAGCAACACACTGGCCTACTGAATCTTATTTCCTGAGAAAGGTTTGAGAAATTTGGGGGTTCTGTGCACAGCCAAACAGGTGAGGGCTTTTATTATTTAAAAAAAAAAAACCTCTAGAAGTCACTGTGAACAAAACTGAAGCTTAAAGGCACTTGTTCTTCCTATAAAACTTCCACAGCTTTTCTCCATGCGACTTTCTTTTTTCCAGACAGTAGATATTGTTATTGCGTGCAGGTGCCCAAGCTGCATTCAGTGCTCTTTACTGCCTGGGCTGCTTTTGGGAAGGAACAATTTCCCCCAGTACAGCAGCCGACCCCATGAAGTGGAAGATGAAGCAGTGTTATTAGGGTTACCCGACACGGAGTTACACCAACTAAAGCCAAGTCCCACCCTACCACGCTGTGACCAGAGGAAGGATGTCCCGCTGATGGCAGTGCCCACATGAGACTCCACAGGTCTACGCTGAATTTTCTTCTCATCTGCTCA